ATGACAGAATGCACAAGAAGTGCAGTGATGTTGGATGGGGAAATCTCGAAGTACGTGGATATACTCCAAGGAGTCGCACAGGGCTGTACGATGTCACCCACTCTTTTCAAGATTTACATCAACGACTTGATAAGGGCGGTTGAAGCAGTAAGACAGGGAGTCCAAGTAGGGGGAAAGAGTGTGTCCGGACTGATGTTTGCAGATGATTTCGTGGGGGTATCCGAAACACCAGAAGGGTTGCAGGAACAAATAGATGCGGCAGTAGGATACATCCGAAAATGGAGACTGTCGGTGAACGTAGGAAAATGCGCAGTAGTGGTCTGTAACGAAGACAAGAAAAATCCCGTAGAATTCAAATGGAAATGGGGGGAGGAAGAACTACCGGTAGTAGACAGGTATACGTACCTGGGAGTAGAGATTTCGAAGGAGTGCTCATGGGACGCACACATAGCAAAGTTGATTGGGAAGGGTAAAGCTCAGATAGGCAAGATGGACGCGATCCTANTAGAATTCAAATGGAAATGGGGGGAGGAAGAACTACCGGTATTAGACAGGCATACGTACCTGGGAGTAGAGATTTCGAAGGAGTGCTCATGGTACCCACAAATAGCAAAGTTGATTGGGAAGGGTAAAGCTCAGATAGGCAAGATGGACGAGATCCTTACGGACCCACACCTAGACACTAGGATTAAGAGGTGTGTTCTCTTGAATGTGATTGTACCTAAGCTAGAGTATGCAGGAGAGGTATGGGAAGGTAACGAAAAGGCCGTCAAGCAGCTGGAAACGGTGCAGATGGCAGCGGCCAAGAAAATACTAGGATGCTCAAGTACCACGAGCAACACTGTGTTGAGCGCAGAACTGGGAATGTACTCTCTTATCACAAAAGACATGCAAAAGTTGAATTGGCAGTACAAGGTAAGTAGAATGTCGGACGATAGACTACCAGCCATGGTTGACAAGGCAGCTTGGGGAAAAGCGACTCCAGGGAAGAAAGGAATCAGATGGGACAAGGTGGTAGAGAGGGTTTGGAAGGAGATAGGAGACGAGGAGGAGACATTGGACACGGAAGGGTTCGGGGGGTTCAAGAAGAAAGTCAAGGAGATGCTAGAAAGTAGGGAGGAGGCAACCCTTCGGAAGAAGGTACGAAGCGAAGACCACTTGGAGATATACGGGAAGTTGAAAGAAGGGGTAGGGATGAAGAGTTACCTGGACGGCCCCATGGACTACGCAAAAAAACTGAAGTTGCAATTTCGAGTAGGCGATCTG